TATCCTTTATGTTTTACAAGTTTTTTATATGTTTTATTAAGAAAAAATAGCAATATGGAAAAAAAAAAAAACAAAACAAAAAACAAACAAACTGAAATATTATAGAAACTAGGGATTCAGAAAGCCTTAGAAATTATACAGCTTCTCCTTAATTTATCTCCTCAAGTCCACTAGATTGCAGAATCAGATTCGGCCAAAGTTATTGTTTAGATGCACAAAACTTCAGCTACTAGACCCTAAAAACTTTAGACTATTTTTAATAATATTTCTAATTTGATATTCTGTTTAAAATCTATTTTTTACTCTCATATTTAAAAAAAAAAAAAAAAAAAAACTATGTAGCTGATTTTCTAGTTAAGTGTAATCTACAAAGTCTAATGATTTTTTAGCTTGGTTGTAATTTTTTTCTTACCAGTGCCATGTTGGTTTATGCTTATAATATAATCTTTGACTTCATCAAAAAAATAAAAAATGTATATTTATATATATACACTCCTAGTTTAGCTACAGTAATTGGTTCAAAACGAATTCGTTTTGAGTCATTTTAGCTCAGAACATCTTCTTTTTTAAAAAAAATAAAGTGATTTTTTTTTTTAATAAAAAATATTATTTCATTTTAATACTTGATGTTTGGTTTTTTAGAAATATGTATTCATTTTCATCCTTGATTTGTATGGAATTGTTCCTAATCTTTATTGAGTTAAAATGGGGACCTTGGGGGTAGAGAGAAGATAGAGAATCGGTTTTTTTTTTTTTTTAAGGTTGATTAAAACATGTTTTGAGGTTCAAAAATAGTTTTTATATGTTTCTGAGATAATTCTAAGGTGTTTGTAAGTTAAAAAAAAAAGTGTATTAATTATGTTTTGGAGGGTCAAAATCGATAGCTTCTTGATTTTCCAGTCTGTTTCGGAGGCATTTGGTCGTCGAAAGTGCAGAGTCAGGCGACGTGTTAGTCCTTGCAGACGACGCACCGTCCACCTCTTTTTTGTTTTTTTCTTTTTTTAATGGCTGGACTGCACTTCTAGTCCAGGCGTGCGGGCTTGGCTATCTCTAGGTCCATCCGCCCTCGCCCAGCCTCCTTTTTATTTTATTTTTTATGGTTTTATTTTTTCATTATTTACAATTGGCTCAAAATAAATTTCTTCTCAATAGTTAATGGTTATTTTGTATTTTTAATAGACTCATGGACTAAAATTAAACATTTGTAACAATAAATTGATTTAGCACACACATCTAATTTGATTTTTTAAAAAATAAATAATTAATTATATTTTTTTATTGATCAAAATCAAACATATTTATAAGATATATTTAAAATTAAATATAAAATATAAATAATTTTATTAAATACCCCATAATACATATTAAATTAAACAAATTCTCGAAATTAGTATTGGCTAATTTTCATTTTACACCTAATTTTTAAAATTATTTAGGACATTAAAACATAATATAAATGTACTTAGAAATACCCTATAAGGGAAATAAAAAAACAAATAAATTATTAATCAGATGAATCTGATTCACCATTTGACTGTATACTTGCACTGACCCATTATGATACCACATGCATTTTCTTCCCATTGCACAATGTGTAAAATCTTGGGAGAAGACAAGCTGAACAAAGGACAAATTTGTAGGATCAAACACTTTGCTGGAAATCATTGATGTTCCTGCTAAGCACACAGTGGAGTTTCTGGTACAATTCCTTCATAGTAAAGGGTAAGAGGTAACTTCTCATTTCTATATATCTTGATCATTTCATGATGTTATATATCTTGTTTTTATAACTTCAAGCAAAATGATTCATCACTACATGTTTTAATTTCCTTCACTTGCAAGCAGTAAAATGATTCAAGCCACCTCACATTTGATCCTAAGTCTTGCAACCTTAATTCCACGTGTGCAGCCACCTCTGTCGGCCTAGTCAGCATTCTGCAGCCATATCAGCAACCCTGCAAATCTGCAGCTGCTGATGCACACCTTCAACACTCTATTAGGGTGAGTAGATTCATCAGCAGCTTTTTTCAGTATAGAACTGTTTAATTACTTGCACTTTTAACCATTGTTTGATAGATCAAAGTTGAATTATTTCAAATTTCTGACCAAATGATTGGCTTTTGTTAATGAAAAATATTTGTATTCATCTTGATATAGTGAAGTTAGATCAATTTTAATGTTTCAGCTGACTGATAAAACGTAGGCCAACAGGCAATTTGAATCTCTATTATATAGGGCTCCATTTAACATCTGCAGCATTTGCAACTGCTATTCTCAAATCAATTCCCGTCGTCACATTTGTCTTATCATGTATCACAGTAGAAATTCAGAATTAAGGGCATCCAACTCTAGCAAACAAACAAAATTTAGACAAGACACATCAAACTTCAAACAATTATATGCATGTTATGTCAAGCAAGCAAAACTGATGGATGAAAAAGCAATCATAAAAGCTTTGGAGATCAGTGCCTCTTTTATCTACACTCATCAAGAGAATTGGGTTAGACCGGCCAATGTTATTATTTAGATGAGTAAGAAAGTCTCTGTTAGATGGATTTGGATTTAACTCTATTGATTTTTTGATCAAATCTTTGAGTTCCTTTTCATTCAGCCATATCCAACGTAACAAAATATAGTCACAAATACTTTAACTGGAAACAGTCTTTATAGAGATGACGAAAAAATTCCATGTAGATAGCTTTAATTTTATTCATAGAGATTGTATTGTACTTTTTTGTACTCTTGCCGGCTACCAGCTAGCAATCTTTTTTATTTCAATCTCAATATATATATATATATATATAACGAAGATAAAAAAACATAAAGTTTCTATGAGAAGAAATGAAAATTGAAGAAAGAACAAGGTGAACTATTATTTCCTTTAATTAGTAGTGGGACATCCTTGTTATCAAACATGCATGTTGCTGCACTGATTGTGTATCCCACTTACTAAAAAAAGACATGCAATTTGCAATCACTGCGAAACAAGGCAGAGAAGTAGGTGGCTGAGATTTGCTCCTTTAGTAGTAGGGTTCTGTCTTCTCATAAACGGAAGCTTTTTTCATAACCATGCATTTCCTAACCTTATAATATATATAACAACAAAGTGGGAGCCGCTCGGAAACAAGTCTTAACTTATAGTTTTCGATTTTTATGGTTAATAATTTTGAGAATTTATTTTTAAAATATTCAAGATTATATATTGAAAATTACTCATTAATCACATTTAGAAAGAAATTAATCTTAATATGCATAAAAATTGTTTCAAAAATATTCTTATTGTAAAAAAAAAAAAAAAAACTTATAATATCTAGTATTGATATGTTAAAATTACTCAAAGTTGACTTATTTATAGATCATTGAGAAACTAAAATTGGCCCAACTTCGCCTGACATCTGGGGGCGTACTACTAGTTATCTTTCGACTGTACATGAAAGCCAAAACATTCCCCAACAATCGTACGTTAAAGACTTGTTTCACGTATAAACAAACAATATACAATCAATATAGTACATTCTCTTGTCGTGTTTTTCCCCTGCTTCAAAGCACTACAACTTTGGACTTTTACTGGTAATAACAAAAGTGCTTTTGATTCGATAATTATTTATTTATTTTTAGATTTACCTAGCTAAAATCTCTCATGACTAATCATATTTGTATCGAAAGGAACAAAATTTAATTTTTTTAATAAATATAATTTTAAAATTTAAATCTACACGTTTATAGAAAGTTTATTTAGAAATCAATCTGTTTATCACGACCAACAATTTATTGATAGATATTTATTATTTGTCTATGAATTTGTTATTTATAGAGTTAAATATAATTGCCCTTTGTATGTCGGATTCGTAAGTTCCTGTCTGTCTAAAAGCATTAGTTTATAAAAATTGAGCATCAGTTTGTATCTGCTTTTCAATTCTTTGTTTGTTTTTTTTTTTTCCCAATTTGCTGTATAAAAGATAGAGCATCAATTTGTTGGCGTTTTCTCTTTTCCATTTGATATTTGTTCATGTTTATCTCTTTCTACAGAGATTATATATATATTCTCATTAAAAGAACTTCATCTAAACGTTAAAAATAGAATAAAAATAAAACTAGAAATAATTATCAATAAATTTTAAATTATCTATGAATTTCTAATGTAAAATTAAGTGTAGTTTGAGAAAATAAAATTATATTATTAAAAAATCGTTCTAAATTGTAATTTAGAATAATAAGTTCAAAGAAATTCATGGTGTACCCATTGATAATTTATGAAGACTTTAACCATAAATAATTTCTTAACTATCCCATCAAATAAGTAGAAGATTCTCTAACCTGTGAAACGAACGTTATCCTGCCAAAACTTATGTGCTTCCAATGCCAATAAAAAGTAACCCATCTAATGGTATTTTGTGGCAGCCTGTCTTTTACGTGTGTGTATATATATGTGTGTGTGTATTTTGTACATTGAGGAATTCATGTGCCATTGCTTTATGGAGGTTTAGTTAATCACTTAACAATGAGCTCTGAGAGTGTTGGAGAGGGTAGACTGTCTTGCATTGGCGGCGAGAGATCCATCTGGAGTTTTATCGCATTACAAGTTTAGCCACACTGGTATATTGATGCATTTGCCCATCCTCGGACAGGTTTTTAAGTGTATCACTTTCTAGGCTAGGTCAGCTAGATAGATTATAAGGAGCGGATTCTTTGAGCTCACGTCGAGTGTCACAGAAAAGAGAGGAATGAGCTTTCTAAGGACGAGAATCAAACATCTAATCTGGTGAGTCAGAGACACTCTTCTTGCCACTCTACTTACAACCTTCTTTGGTGATGCATTTGCTTCTTAAACAACGAAAATTTAGAGAATTGTGTTTTCTTGAAAGTTGAGTTCTGTTTCTGGATGCAATGTTTATACAATCGGTTGCAGACTTGCAGTTTACGTCCTACTATTTGCGATGCTGAGTTTTTGATGGATTTATGGAGGTTCTGTAACTATAAGCTAGAAGAATTGGGAAAAAATGTTTGCTTTTGTTTTATTATGTTCTGTATGTTTGTTGAAAATAATGATCAAATTCAAGAACTCTGTAATTATGTGAGATAAAACCAAGAAAAAGACTGGTTGTCCTTCCTGTGTCTTCGTTTTCCTGTTTATCTGTTGGCTAAATGTAATCTGGGAGAATTTATTCAGGCTCTTGGGAAAGATGACGTTTCGCTAAAAATAATGCATTGTGGATTTTGCTTTGCTGACGTTATCTAGAGTAAGAACAAGCATGAAGATTTGCGATATCCATTGGTGCCTGGGTATGTGGCCTAATTGAATAGCATCTATGACTTTTATAATGGAACTACTTTTATAGTTTTCTTTAACTGATGTAGTTATCATTATCTGTTTACAGACATGAGATTGTTGGAATTGTAAAAGATGTTGCATTGGTTCCAATCTTAGCGACCGACATCAAGGCTGATGACCATATTGGAGTAGGCACTTGTGTTAATTCTTGCTGAGCGTTTGAGTATTGGAATGACAGGGAAGAAATCAGTTTTAAAAAGGATTGGTTTTCACTTTTAATGGAATTGATGTGGATGGTTGGATCACAAAGGGTTGATATTCTAGCTACATTGTCGTCCATGAAAGGCAAGTACTTTGTGATGGCTGTCTTTGTTCCTTATCTTCTCTGTTTCTTTTGTTTGACATGAAAAAAATTTGAACTCCACTGTCCATGAGAAATAAATTGACTTACTATTGCTTTGAGACCATCAAATTCTGATGATTTGCCCCATTTCAGAGCCAAGTTCTGCCTGCTTCAATCATTTTACCAACAGCTCCTTCGATGCCTAGTGGTTTTCCAAATGGGCAATCCCTTTCTGGGCATCGGAGAACAAGTCCTTTGGGAGCTAACAGCGGAAATGCCGAAGATGATAATGTAATGCATGCTCTTAGTCTGTTTCAGGAAATTGAGCCAACTTTTACTGAATTGTTGGTGTCAAATCTACAGATACTGCTTTCAAATACCTGATGGTTATCCTTTGGCCTCAGTGGCACCTCTGCTTTGTGCTAGAATTACCGTGTACAACCCCATGATATGACATAAGATGGACCAACCTGGTTAATCTCTCTGAGTGATTGAGCTTGGTGGTCTGGGTCACATGCAGTGAAGTTTGGCAAGGCTTTTGGATTGAAAGTAACTGTTTTAAGCACAAGCATATCTAAAAAGGAGGAAGCCCTTAGTGTGCTTCGTGCAGACAAATTTGTGATTACACTGGTAAATCTCTTCATGTTTCATATATACAGTCATAAACTCATAATACACATATCTGATGCCGATTGTTTTACTTCTATGAGGAAGATTTGGGTTTGATCTTCTGTGTCATGCTATTGTTAAAGTAATGAGCCGGAATTTAGCAAATAAATAATACTTTTACTTTGTATGTTTAGTTATTAGTTTTGTCAAGCATATTTGACGCTAACCAATAAAAGAAGTAGTTTTTGAAATTTCAAAAAGTTAAATCTTTTTTTTTTTTTTTGATATGTACATGTCATGGGGTATCTTCGGTAGCTTTCACATCAATCGATACTAAGTTCATCACTTCCTAGATTAAACCAACGCCAAAACACACTTAGCTTTTGGACGATTAGTGGGCTCTCTCTTAGACCAAATGAGCTCAAGCCTGGAACCACTAAGAAATAATTATGGTTAATCAAAAAGTTAATCCTTCTGTATTTTTCTTTTGATGCTTTTGAATAATATTACTGTTAGAATTACATGCTGATATTTTATTACTGCTAATACATGCAGAGTTTTTTGTCATCAGGTGGGTGACTCAGAATGATTTAAGTGCCAGAAAGTGGCAAGGGGTGTTGGCCAGGTCTTTGAATGGCTAAGAGTATGGAAGGTGAGAAAAACCTATCTATAATTGCTTCTGCTAGGGTTATTTCTGTCAGCACAACCCGGACCAAGATCTTCTGTTGTGAGCAACTTCTATTTTTAATCATTCAACCACCGTACGATACTGTTGGTCTAAAAGCGTAAGCTTTTCCGTGTCAATATTTACTGTTCTGGCTGGTTTGGAGAGCTTCTGATCACAAAGAAGCCAACGCAATGAGATGCTATTTTCAACTTGACCTGGTAGTTCAGTTCGGAAAAGCACAAAATTACTATTACGAGACAAATGGATGATGCCGGAGGGCACCAACTAGTAACTACCACCACTAACTAGTTATTGTATTTAGTGGATCCTTTGTCAGCAATCAGCAGGTTTTCCATTCATCATTATTTTTCTGTAAAGACAAAGAACAAAAAGATTTTTCGTGAAGTTTATTCAAGTACAAGACACCACGGAGACTTCAAAAGCTGCTTTAATAATTGACGACAATCTTCCAGGTAACCTGAATCTTCACTTCCTTCCACTTGTGTCAGGATTCTCTAATGGGTGGTCATTTATGGAAATCTCCAAGGTCCTGCCATCAGCTAAGCCTTTTCCTTCATCAGACTGCTGAGCATCAGCATTGTCTTGCCTTTTACCCCACAGTACACAGTACAGGCCTACAACAATTAGACCTGTTCCTATGAAGCTGGGAAATGCCAAATGCCAAATGCCAATCCCAGTGAAAAGTCGTGACCGTTAAAATGGCTAGTATCAGGAAACAAATACTGGTACAGATAAATAAGAATGAAAGGCTCAAATTGTTTCAGAACGAGAAATTTAACTAACCGGCGAACAGAGAGAACGAAGAAACTTTAGCATCTAATAGCTCACCTGCCCAAATGAAGTCTCTCTGCAAATGCAATTGCTGAGAATAGTCCGACAACGACAACTAGTAGAGGACTAAACATCGCTGCAAAAACTGGCCCCTTGTGACTAATACACCAGGTTTGCAGGTAGTAGACTAATGCTGAGATCACAACTCCCTGTAAGAAAATATAAATCAGTAAAAAGCAATGAGCAGTGTCGATGTTGAGCAGCTATTACAGAAACTCTTACACAGTATATAATGGTTAGGAGCTGCACATTCCACTCCAACTTCCATAGTGCCGGATTTCTTGCAAAAAACAGCGCAAGGAAAGAAGATTGGATTGACGCGAAGAAGCAAATCAAAGTGTTCAGCGATAAACGAGCTGGATAGACTTTGTAAACCACAGCCTGCGTGAGGAGGACAGAATTATTAGCGAAATCCGAACGAACACACCTACTTCAAATAAAGCAGACAATTACCTGGAGAATTAGCCACGCACTCCATGCAATATGGCTGGTCAGAATAAGTGCAGAACCTTTCATCCAGTTTTCCTTGGCATGCCTGTACCCACCAGCAGAACCTTCAGTGCTGTAAATGTTTATCAATGGCCTGTTCCCAAAACTTTTAAACAGATATCCTCCTTTCCAGAAGGTGAACACCAGTGAGCCACTTATGCAAATAACCGTGCCCAACATTTTAGCCCATCCTCTAGAACTTGCAATCTTCACTTTCTCCATCCTGAATAAGATGGCAATAAATCAGTAAAATGGGATCTGGTTAACTTAAAGGTGGCTCATTATGAGGTCACTTGAGCACATATATACCCGAGTAAAACTGCCATGACGAAAGTCAGACTCGGGATAACATTGCTTAATGCGCTTGCAACTGTTGGGGAAGTGTATGCTAAGCCAGCATAGTACACATTAAGATGGATGGTAGTTCCTAGTGATGAAAGCACAAAAATCTTTGTGATCACTGACAGTGAAAGCGAAGGGCGCTGCTTCCTGCTTTGCAAATACATTCCAGAAATTACAATTTTCTCATGTTCTCCTTATAAATCCATGATGTCGATCTTAATCCATTCTATTAGCACTAATATTATGTGCTTAACAGTAAAACAAGGCAGCAATCATTGACAATCATATTTCTTTACCTTTCCAGTACATAAGCAAAAAGGCCCAACAAAATCATGGCAATGACATGACGGTAAAGCACAAATACAAGTTGATGGAGTCCCTTCTCAAGAGCAATCTTCATGAGGATATTAGACCCTCCATAAGCTAACTGAACTAGTATCATCGCAGCATATGAAGCACAGGCTCGCATGGTTACGAATTGCTTCCACTGCAATGGAAGACAGGACAGTTGATCATTTTTTCCTTTAAATAGTAACAAAGGATCGTTCTCACCCACTTTTTCTATAACCAACATCTCTGTCTCAAGTGGAAGAATAACATCTTTTTTCTTTAGCAAGTGGAATTCTCAATCAGTGCAGCAACATAATAGATAAGAAGGTTCCCCACTGTTACTCAAAAAAGCATGCTTTTGCTTTTTCAAATCCCCATTTTCTGCTGTAACTCTATGACCACAAAATGGAAAACATATTCGGGATTGTTTTGTGAGAGGAACATGTTCTGTTCAAGAGTAAATTTCGTTTCTTTGGAATAATAGTTCAACTTGTCCATAATTCTTCAATTTTGATGTCTTCATGGAGAAACTTTATGCCTTCATTCTTTAAGGGACCCAACTAGCTCCTAGGACCTCATCGATCGGTTGTTGTCACTTGACATGGCATTCACAGAAATTCTGGTAAGACTCTTCACCAGCCTATTGATAGTTTGTCTTCGTGAGAAAATGGCAGGGGAATTTGGATGTGTATGGTCTAAATTGTGTTTTGTTTGCTAGAATTGGATGCTTTTAACTCTGAATTTCCACCATAACTCAAAAAAAGATTCCCATGCAGTTAACAGTCTTGATAGGAAAACAAAATTCGTAAACAGAGTGAATCGTTTGTGGGAACAAAAGGTTGGTTAAAAGAGAGTTAAGTTCATTCTCTTGTCTAATCGGCTAATTCCTTTCCATCTTTCCAATGGACAAATCAATGTCCTGGTACAGAATAATTTTATCAGCCAAGAAACTCTGAAAGAATGGACAGCAATGCAAGTGGAAAAGGAAATTTATTGTCAGCCAGAGAAGCAATATAATTTGACATAACATGCCATACCACTTCATATATGCATGAGAGAAAAACACAAGCCCAGGAAAACAATTATTATTTTTCAATATCTGGAAATTTCTCAGCTGGAGATTCACTATTAAGCTTGTCTTGTTTCTCTGCCTTGCTTCGTCCCCACAGGACAGCATAAAGACCAACAACAACCAGAATACCACCCAATACACTGGAAAGAACACAAGAAACAAAATTAAAAAGGCAGCATTACAAGAAAAACATTAACTGTACGTGTATTTGGGTCTATTTGACTTGAAAGCAACAAACCTTTCCCAGTTCAATCGTTCAGCCCAGATAATTGCTGAGAAGATAGCAGTTAACAGCAATGAAAGTGGAGAAAACATGGCAACGTAAAACGGCCCTTTCTTCTCTATACACCAAATTTGCAGTCCAAATGCAGTCCCAGTTACAAATACACCCTACATTTCGTTATAGCAAATCATAAATTGATGATAATAGTGAAGATTAAATAGTAATGACAATATAGTTTTTTGAGGAAAGTTGAGACTTACACAATAAGCAAGGGAAGCAAGTTGAATATCCCACCCAATCTTCCATGAGCTATATTCTCGCTGCAAGGCTGCTGCTATAATAAAGGATTGCACAGCACTGAGGAGACCCTGTAGAGTGGAGAGGCGTAACCTGGCAGGATAAAGTTCCAGCAATTTTGCTTGAATGACAAGCCATGTTGACCAAGCTATGGCAGAAAGGAACATCAGAACAGGTCCTAAGATCAACTTCGTTCTCCCCTCCAATTCATTTATAAAGAATGTTCCTTCGCTGCTTCCAGGACTTGGCGAGTGATGGTGTCTCATCGTGGGTCTTCGGTAGAAGCTAAGCATCATGGCTCCTCCAACAGTTACGACTATTCCAAGGATCTTCAGTCCACCATAGGAGGATCTCCAACCTACAGCCTCCATCCTACCATTTTGAATTTTTCATATTTTCTTTTTAATTACTAGATTATAAAGATAAGGCTAAATAATCAAAAGCAAGTTGAGCTTTCACTGAAAAAGAAACGCTAATTTGACTATCATAAATTATTTTTTGGT